AGTGTTATCAGATTGCTGTATATAAACCTTAGCCTAATTTAATGTTTGGACGATAGGACGCTATAATTTAAAGTTTGTTATAGTTATGGCACGCGAGCAGCTGTTTTTGAGCGAGACACGAAGGCACCAGGCCTATTAAATTATTCAATAGTGAGTATCGAAGCGCCCGAAGTCAATCATTAATTCTTAATTCATTATCCGTCTCCATAGTTTTTCCAAATTGCTAGTGATGGGCGATACCGAGTACTCGGTATTCGATACCAGCGATACCACAAACAGTGGTATCGGTATCGATTACTGACGTGGTATCGTTCGATACTTGCACCCTGTTTTAAAGGACTTGTTTAATTTCACTTCTTGGTTGAATAAGACTTAATGGACCACTAAAACAACTTTTAATATTCCAAATGTGGTGCGCCAAGCCATGTATAGAAAATATTTATTACGTTTTGGGCTTTTGGTTTACTTAGTAGCTTTAGTTAGGTTACATACAGTAATGTAAAATGTTCTTCCGTTAACCAGCAGGTATCTAAAGTAGCCGATACTAGCAATTTAAGTACTCTCTTCCGGAATCGAAAATTGAAATTTTGTGTTTATTTTGGTATCGAAATAGGTATCGGTATCGACCGATACCGTTCTTAAAAGTATCGGTATCGAATTAAAAATCCTGGTATCGCCCATCACTACAAATTGCTCCGCCAAAAAGTTGCGCAATGCTCCATGGGAATTCTGTGAAGGGTATATTGAGTATAGTATTAAAGGGATATGGCAACATAGTTCTATTATTTCATTTTAAAATTATATGTAAATCTCCTTTACCGATTTTGCGTAGCTTTATTATTTCTTGAGATATTTTGACAGAAAGAATCACAAATCAGCGAGCATTCAATTCCGCCATCTTGGATTTTGGCGGATATGCATGTTACGTCATAAGCAGGGTTACCCAAGTATTTTATTCATGCGGAGAGCAATTGGTCATTATGAGCCCAAAATCATACTTCGGTGACTATTTCAAATAAGAAAGTGACTAGCAACTTTTCAAACAAGACTTACTGTTATATTTGGTCATTTAAGGTGTAGTTTTATATGGCTAACCCTGCTTTTGACGTCACTAAAATCACCGATGAGATAAAAATTTATCCAAGATGGCGGACAGCTAAGTGAAAATATTTCAGTCAAACACTAAGCAAGACATATAGACATGGTAAGATCTCCTTAGAGAACAATTCATTCTCAAATGGCTGCAATATTCAACTCTACTATGCTTGAAACTTGTGCTCCCATTAAGCTTTGCGCGTTTAGAGTTTGAAGTTTAAAGTTTAGAGTAAGTTAGCGAAGGACAACTTTTTTTAATTGACTCATGTATATAAGATAGATATAAAGATGTATATATCTTCACCTGCAGAGGGCATAAAAAAATCAAGTATATATAATGCATATCGTGACAATTTTTTTATTATATTATTATTATTATTATTATTATTATTATAGTTATTAATATTGTTGATATTATGCTTGGAAAATGGGTCTATAGATTCTGCCACTCAGGTGTTTTGCGTATTGCAGTAAAGATCTACGACGTCGACGTCAGCTGGGACGTCAGGGCTAAGCTTGTGAGGTTGTCGACGTTTGGTGGACGACGAGCAAATTGAGAGAGACACATGCACACTTCAAAAACTATTACCAATTTACTTCCACTTGCCGCCCTAAATATTTCACGTCGTAGATACTTGAGCTATCGACTTATTTAGGACGACGTCCTAGTGCCAGTCCTCTGCTTAGCCCTGACGTCCTAGCTGACGTCGACGTCGTAGATCTTAAGCTATCTAATTTGTTTTGTGGAAAACATCACGTATAGTTATATTGCAAAGCTGTCGATCCACAAGCCTGAATCTTTATCAGATGCAGTGGTGCTACATTGCTCAACTACAAGAACCAAAATGTCAAATACTTTGTCTGTTTAAATTAAAATAAATAAACCAAAATAAATTACATTGATTTAAGCAAAGTTTTCGAGCCTTATCATAGATCCATGATGTACCTTCATCGATTTTCAAACAGTTGTACTCTATCAACACCTATATGCTTATAGATACAGAGTATTTAGCCTGTAACAAGTTAAATAACTGGTCCAATAATTTCTCCTTCAATCTACAAGCAGACAACATAAATGACAGCGATTTAGTTTTCAAGCCTTGATCTAGACTCTTAATTCATCGAGTTCCCAACCTTCTATTGTAGTATTCAATGAACTATGATAAGAAAGTATTTAGCCTGGGTTAAATAAGTGGTCCAATAATTTCTCCATTTAGCTATTAGTAGCCAATATAAATTATAGAGATTTAAGCAAGGTTTTCCTATAGGCTTCGTCTTTAGAATCAGCTGCAGTCCATAATATAAGCACAACAGTCATCAGGAATAAGGCAAGAAATAACAGAAAGAAAAGACGATCCACGACTTTGGATGCATACTCCCACTTCTGACGCAAAGCATTCATTTCTTCATCTTGTTTAATCTTATTCGAAATAATAGCCAGCGATCTTTTTGCACTTTTGGTAAACATAGGATTTCCTTGTGGGTACCCAGCTATATTTTCTAGTTCCATTCCTCCGTCCGAGATGATGTCGTTTTCCTTCAACGCCCCGTGGCCGTTCTTCCCCGTTTTGCACTTCAAGTATCCTTTACCCCTTGTACATTTGCACTGTTTAAACAGCAAAATACTTGCAAGGAATTTGTTTACAAAAAAATCAATCCATGTCGGCAATGGTGTTTCGTTGTAGTACCATTTTATCGTAAGGAATGTAGCGACAAGGCACAGAGCGATCTCAATGATGCATGCCAAATAAAACTTACTGACCAGCGGTATAACTTCAGAGGTTGGAGGCATAAAGTTGAAGATGAGCATCATGTAGACTGTCATTGACAGTAACATGGTGATGACCAACGCAATTCGTTCGCCGCTTCGCACGGGTAAACAAAACGACAGGAATGCCAGAAATGAAATCATGACACAAGGAATAACCAAGTTTGTAAGATAATACAGAATCCGTCTTTTCATAACAAATCGATATATAACATACGGGTAAGGTTCTGGGTAGTAGCCGATGTTTTTCATCACTAAAACCTCCATAATATCCCAAGCTGGGTTTTCAACTAACTGGGAGAAATTCAGTTGCTCGGTCAAAGGGGAAATGTCTACGTAACGTCCGTCGTAGGTCCACGAGCCGAAGCGTAGGTCGCATACTTGATGGTCGAATGGAAAGTAGTTCACGTCAATTTTGCATTCGCTCTTTAACTGTATCGGCGCCAGCCATGTTGAGTTACCATTGGAGTCTATTTTAACAGCAGTGTCGATCTTTGCGGCCAAATTGCCAGCATCGTCTAGACTGAAATGGAAATAGCCGTTGTTTCTACTGATTTTTCAAAAATGCTAAAGTCAAATCTAGAGGGCCCTCGGAGACTACGGAATGTCCCCGCCAACCAACTGACAGAGATATCCAATACAAGTGGAGTTAGTTTAGTTAAAGTTTCCTTAGGTAGTAACATTTCTTAGAACCAACGGAGCTCTCCAGCGCAGGTGAAAAATATCAGAATCTGGGAACCTAATTCCCAGAAATTTTGGACGATCTACATTTTTGCAGAAATTTTCAGATTTTCTGTTTGATAGCTAATTCTGAAAATTACACTGAATGGATATCAAAATTACTAAATACCTGATTATTGAAATGATTGAATACCAATTGAATGTACTAACTGAATGCCTAAATTACAGTGGAAGAGTTCCCTCAAATGGCCTGCAGTAGGAAATTTGTCTCTTATCCTTTAAGACTGTAACTATGTAACTAGTATGACTATACTTTAGGATTTATCTTGACTGACTTGTATGCTTTATCAGTCTCAAAGACATATTGTTTCATACAGCAAGTCGACAACACATTGTGAAGAATATATTCCATGTAAGGTAAAAAAGACAGTTCCCTTTAATATTATATTGTAATCTTTCGCAGAAAATTTTGAGCCCTAAACCCAGTTTCCGGTTTCCCAGAGAAAAACATTTTCCACCTCTGCTCTTCAGTCTTTTCATTATGTTGCCATAACTATACTCAGGACCGCACAGAGAAATTTGCCAAATTTAATATTTGGGGCCCTAGTGATTGTCTATCGTCAAATATTCTTGAAGTTGTGTGCTCTTTTAGAGATTGATTTCCATATTCGTGAACTTTTAGGCCTGATTATTTCCATCGGTTTTGAATGTTTATATAACATTTTCAATGCGTACTTATAACATTTACAATGCACTTAAATAGTTCAGGGGGGTCCCAGGGAGATTCTCCCCCAGGAAAATTTTGAAATCTAGAGTCCCTAGAATAGCAATTCCTGCATTCTGGAAGAATATTTAACTGTGGTTTCTATGCATATTTTACTTTATACTTATTTGGGGGCCCTTTTAGCTGGGGGCCCGGGGCAAATTGCCCCCTTTGCCCCCCCCTCTTGGCGGCCCTGACTATATACTCACGTGTTATACAATGTTATATCAGGAACCCAGACACGATCATGTTGAAGATGGACATGATCAATGTCCACGTGTTGTTTTGGATCCCATCGAAGTATTGGATTGTTCCATTTTATCATTACTCCAGAATATATTGTTACATATTGGCTCTTTTCATTCTAAACAAAAAAAATAATTACAGCTGATAATAAACTATGACAGAATGCTCCTTGGCTTGCAAAGTGTATTCTACCAAAAAATATCTGACTTATATGTGAACACAATTCTTCATTGAAACCATGCAGTTTAGTCTAATCTTTTAACTCTTCTATACTATTCTTATGCCTCATTCAGATGAGACAAATGAGAGCGGGCAATAGACAACTTGCACGTCAGACTAATTTTTGATGATCTAGGCAAAAAAGTAAATTCCCGTAAAGAACTTATTAAAATTTGTAAAATTGTAAAATTTGGTTACGAAATGTTGTAAAATACGGAAAATATAGCCTTGCAAAGTTTGCATATTTTGTATATGTTTGTATTACGTGTTACCAATTTTGAGCCGAAAATGCAACAATTCCCGCACGTAATACAAACATATACAAAATTTGCAAACTTTGCAAGGCTATATTTTCCAAGCTTTACAACATTTCGTAACCAAATTTTGCAATTTTACTAATTTCATTATGTTCTTTTTAGCGTCATGGTGTTTGATTCCCTCTCTTTACATAGATTAAAATTTATAGTCTAACATGCAAGTTGTCCATTTCGTTTCTGTCATACAGTTTTGTCTCTAGTTCTTGGGATCGTTCTTTAATTAATCCAATATATGTTTCATTTTCCTATCTCTACATTGACTAATTCACTAAGGTCGCCAAATATTCCACTAAATATCTAATATATTCTACATCAAGTCACCGCATTTTAATCTAATTAACTTTATCCTTTCTTTTCAATAATCTGTCCACTTCAATTTGTCTACAACCTAATCTGCCCTAATCTTCTTCATTGTGGTCGAATGTAATCGTCTTATCTGTAACTGTGTGTCCCTCAACTATATGCCTGCGTTAAATATGTTCATTTGCTTTGTATTCCCTGCTTATTCTTGCCTGAAATCCATTTTACTATTTTCCACCATGGTCTTATCTATTCCACTAGCTGACGTATTAATGAATATTCTTCATTTAGTCTTCATTCCATAAATTCCAATCTAATGTAACATTGCTATTCTGTAGTTCAATTACAGACCATTTTACTACATTATTAAAACGAAGTAACATATAATCTATTTTACTAATATCTAATTTACTCCAATCTAATGTCAGCTAAGTACTTCACACCATTTTACCCTATTACGTTAGGATTATACAAACTGCCCTAATCTGCCGCCTGCCGTCAGCGATGTCATGCCTTGCTCTATACTGCAATGTCTTTTTGCCCAAGAAATGCAGGCACATACCACTTCAACCAGTCTGCGCAGTATGAGCTGAATGGTCACTTTGACTGGCTCTTTGAAGCTAACCATGGGTAGAGCTTGCTTACTGTAATTTCTCAACAATACATTGGTTATCAGGTGGAGCGCAGCTTTCTCGCGGGACTGACTCCCTAAATAATGTTATGTTCGTGTTAAAAACATTTAAAAAACAGCACAACAGCAACAAGGGTTACTACAAACAACGACAACAACAACAACAGCAGCAACAACAACAACAGAAACAACGGTTGCAACAAACAGCGGCAACAACACCAGCTGAAACGACAGCAACAACAACAGCAGCCGCAACAACGACGACGAGGCCAACAGCAGGAACAGAAACTGAAACAACAATAACAATAACAACAGAAACAGCAACTAACAACCTTATAGAAAATCCTGAAACATGTTGTGATATTGTTGCCCCAAGCTGCTACAAGTTTGACATTCACAGCTTGCTCTCAAATTGTTTGATTAACAATTTGTTGGAACAAATTTTATGAATCTTTTGCATATGACAGTGTCGCCAAAACTTCGGATTCCAGATTTCGAAAAAACTTGAAACTTTTCAGTTCAAAGTTATATACACGAACAACTAAGGTGTTGCATGGGGCAAGTCTTCAGTGTCCATAAGAAATTTGCTCGTCGTATATATGCTGTATTGTCTGGAAAATTTCAACACAGACATAGCATGCAGCTTAGTTTGAATACATAGAGTGATAGTTTGTACACTTTGTAATTATGAACACTGTTGGATAGTATTTAGAAATATATTAGTCTTTTATATTACGTAACAAATGTCTGGCTCAAATGGAGAAAAGTTAAAAACATCGGCGATTACTGCTACTTGCATTTGTTTATAAAATGTACATGCATTGTGGAGACAAACTCATGATCAGAGATAAAATTACAAGAGCCATCAAAAAACCTCTTAGCTTTTTAGATTAATTAACAGAACTACGATATTGCGAGTTCTTATCCCATTTAGATCTTCCTGTATAATTGACTCGAGAACGACGCCTTTTCCATCATTTGGACTCTTGAATTAACAGTGAATCTATTGCGCCGAAGTGCTACCTACACTGGACCACCACGTTTGAGATATCTTTTTCAGGCAGTTCAGACACAAACCACGACAGCTGATTGTAGAATAATACTACCTACACTGGATCTACACGTTTGAGAAGTCTTTTTCAGCAAGTTCAGACACAAACTAGGGCAGCTCATTGTATAATATGTAATCCTATGTACTGATACTGGAATGGTGTTTACCAGTGTGCAAGGATTCAAAATGCGAGCACTATACTGCAGAAGATTCAACTATACGTGAAAAGGATATTCAGGTGGTTGAATATTCTACTGTGCTCGTATTTTCATATGGATCCCTGCATGCTTGAGAAATAATTACAAAGTGGACGCTCTCTTTCAAACACCATTTATATACAAAAATTCTTCTCTTTTCGTTTAGGATTGTAAAGCGAGGTGATACGATGGAGGAATCCAATTTTGGAATAGTATGAACGAAGCTTCGGTAAGATGGGACGCTAAGGCTCCATTCACATGCACTAGCCTGCGTCGCAGGCTCTCCGCGTTTGGGGACGATTTCGCTTTTCGAGTATATAACATGGGACGCAAGAAACGTGACGAACTCGAGTATACAGCTGAAGCTATATTACGTTTACATGCTGCGATTTGAAAGCCGATTACCTTAACCCTGGGTTAACCTAAAATTCAAAGGAAACTTCCCAACAGAATTTGTTTATAAATTTTGAAGTATTTCTTCAGAGATCATGTCTGGATCACTACCAGTTTTCTTCTCTGAAGTTTTGAAATAAACTAAACCGAGGTTAGCGCAAATCCAACCCCTGCAGGGTCCGTTATATGTAATCGAATAAGCACGCGTATATAATGCGGTTGCGTTTCGACTTTCGCCGTAAACTAAATGAAGAGGAATTGTGGCGTCAGAATATACGAATTGTACACGACAAATGCAGCGTGTAAACGTATATTAACTGTACGAATTTCCATGTAAACATGAAACGGTATGCAGTTCCCCGAATTCGTCCGTGAACGGATGTTATAATAATTTCTAGGCCTATAATCTGTATATAAAATGTTAATTCAATAAAAAACTGCATGTTTGCTGAGATGCCCATGGCATGATGTATTTATATGCTTAACAGGCAATAAAGATTAAAGAGAGGTCTAAAATAGCGTCTATAATGCTTTTCTCTTTTTGAATCTAACTTGTGTAGTTTAAGTTGAATCCTTACCGCTTGTTAGTTGTAAACAGATTCCAAAAAGCCCGTAAACCAACGCGAGTTTCATCCTTGTTCTTTACTGCATGTTTTCCAAAGGCGTCTTGTCAGCTTTTAATGTCGACCGCCTATCTTTTTGGCTTGCCGCAATCGTTATATTAATCGCGAGTTTAATGAATCCATTGTCATGAGTTGACACTGATCCATAATGTCGCCTCAGCTTATTGGCACAAATGAATTAGCTCAAAGCTTGAGAACAACTAATGTTAACCTTTTAGAAGAAATATCGCATTGAGACCGATAATCACGTATGCTTTTCAAAAACGTCAGTTGCCGTTTTAAAGACATGTATAGCTTCTGGTCGCCAAATATAATGAATTGAATTTTTGCGTTTTACATAACGATCTATTATATATACAAAAAAAACCCTATAAAACGCGTATCTGGTTGTGACAGTGGCATAACTTTCTGCTGAAAGCCCGCTGCTGATAATTCAAAGGGGGGCCGCCGAGAGAATTCGTGGGGCCCGGGGCAAATCTTCTCTGGCGGCCCTATGACATCATTATTTTTAAGCTAGACCCAAGTCAGTCACCCAACTATAGACCTTAGCTAGACTGCATGTGGAGCTATACTGTAAGGGGTTCTCAATTTCAAAAATGCGCTGACCAATTTAAAGAACCTACTCAATTTTAGGCTCTCACTCTCAAGTCGGGGCCCTTTAAGGTGGGGGCCCGGGGCAATTCCCCCCCCCCCCCTCTCGGCGGGCCGGATTCAAAGGCATAATCATCTGTGTTGAATGGTTATGCTGATAATTCAAAAGCATAACCATCCAAGTTGAATGATTGTTGATTCCCCAATTATCCTGTATATTAACTAACTAAACAACTAACTATAATTAAAATTTTGATCTAGACAAAAATTTCATCACAGCTTGAAAGAGCATCACAAAATAGATAATATTCCAAAGTTTCGTTACGAAATGTTGTAAAATAACCCCAATTATTCAAACGTTGGTCAAAGTTGGTCAAAATGGAACTGATATTTGCCCAAAGTTGGTCAAAATTAAACTAATATTTGCTTAAAATTGAAGGTAAAACTCGGAAAAATTTGGTAAAAGTTTGGGATGAAAGATGGTCGAAGTTGTTCAAATTTATGAAATGGTTCGCAATTTTAACAATTTTAAAGCTTCTGTAACGTTTGAAAAATTTTTAAGACTTGGTCAATGAATTTTGGGCAAAAATTTATACCACACTGCCATGCGATTTTACTTTCTACAAAACGTTCATTTGCCGTTTAATTAAACGAGCACCGATCGAAGCACATAGATTTGATCAGTAAAGGAGAAAGCTCAAAAAGGAATAAAATAAATTCTGAAATTACACTGAAATACTTTCGCCTGCTTCTACTTTTAAATATGAAATTTCCTTAACATTTCTTTGCCGGAATTTTGACTGCCGGATCTAAAATAACCTGAGTTTGCACAGCTCTGACAGAGTAAAATAGTAGAGTAGAGCACATTAATTATCATTTAATATTATGTTATATTTGAAACATAACATGACATCAAATTTAGATAGCAAAAATAAAAGTATAATGTACTGTACATGCAATTTTTCCAAGCCCATCTCTGGCTATGTTTTATATGGAGCACAATATGGGCACGACAGTGCAGCTTACTTTAATAGGTTAACTACACATATGAGCAGGTAATCTGATTTATTCATTGAATGACAGTGCATGCTCTTCCCCTTACAGTAGTTGTGTATTGTTAGTACTAGTACACACAAATGATATGAAAATTTTCCTTCATTTCACCCAAATTGTTCAAAGCTGTTTTATTGTCCAAAGTTATTGTTTTGATAAGAGGAATTCTTTCCAACAATATTCAGAAATATTCAGTGCTATCGTAACAAAAGAGGAACATTTGTTTGCTTTTTGAAATGAAATAGAACATATAATTATATCATTTTAATGACTTGCTTCCGATTTTCAGAGAGGTCTTGGAAACGTTATTAATTGTTGATACTTTTGAAATATTCAGCAACTTGCCGATGAAATTTTTATAAAATATTGCCATAAAATATATAACATTCTAAGGCTACATATATATTGATACTATTGATACTATAGTGCTGTTCCAACGTACAATAATGTGAAAAAAAGAAAAGAAAAAAAGAGCTGAAAAAGTTTTTTCATCAAGTGAGAAAAATTTCCGGAGAAACTTTCCAAAATTGTTGTCGCTCCAATATTGTTTAGGTCCATTTTTTTAAGTATTTTATAAAGCGTATGCTATGTATGTGCTAAGAAGCTAGTTTTGTTGGCATGTGGAAAGCAAAAGTAGCGAAGGTAAAGAGATTAAAATTGGATTTAGTGCGTATTTTTGAAAAATTTTTACCACCAGATGTGGTAGTCCCCCCCCCCCCCGTCTATGACACGTGTGACGTCAGGTACATACGGGACTTTGGGGGCGGGTTTTGGCGGGAAATTCTGTAATGTTTGGAGAAGATAAGATGGCGCTGGTTACCTCGTGTCATATCAAAGGGCATTTTTGTTCACAAATACCCGCTTATTTTACGTTATAGCGACTGGTTCGTTTTGGAAATTATAACTCAATGGACGGGGAAAATGGTTCTGTATTAAAGAGAAAATGATGTGCAGTTATTGTGATGTTATTTGTTGTGAAAGACGGCCCGAAATTTCGCTACTTCGCAGTACTGGTTTATAAAACATTTACAAGCAAGTAAGCAACAGCAATTGAACTATATGACAAAGAAACCAATGTATACAAGCCAATCAAGTTCTTCAGTTTAAAGGTCTGTTTACTTTTTAATAATTAGTTCATTTAGTTGTACATTAATACGAAGTACTGGAACAGTACGCCTAGTCACAGAATAGGAAGGTATACCCATTGAACTGCAGTCTGCAGATTATACTGACCGCTTACGGTAGCCATTTTGGAGGTTGTTAAATTCGTTCTTAATTAAAGTTTTTTGTAACAGGTTAGCGAGAAAACATTTCGACAAGTTTACAAGCGAGATCTTGCTGATTTATGAAAATCCTGAAAAGTTACACTGCGACGCTATACCATGCCCAAAATAAGCAGTTTGTGGAAAAATATTGAAAGCATGTGTGCTATCATACCCTGGATTCCAGAGCCTTCGACAATAAATAATAAATTGAAACATCGCGAAGGCTCTGGTTCAACGGGAAGATTCTTTGATTAAACTGCGCCAATCACAAAACAGAATTAGTAGTTTTAGTAATTAGTACAGATTCTGTACTAACAGCACTAATTCTGTTCTGTGATTGACACGGTTTATAAATCAAAGAATCTTCCTGTTGAACCAGAGCTTTCGCAATGTTTCAATTCATTATTTACTGTCAAAGGCTTTGGAATCCAGGGTAGTGCTATCGTAACAAAAGAGGAACATTTGTTTGCTTTTTGAAATGAAATAGAACATATAATTGCTGCCGCAGCGAGCGAGCCTGAAGCGAGCGAGCAAGGCAGCAGATCCTAATTTTGTTTTGTGGGTCGAAATCAAAATTTTCTATTTGGCGCATTGCATGACGGTACCAGTGAATTTTAACCGTGGTGCAGCGCGGTCAGGCATAAGGCAAACAGACAATGTGATCATCTTTCATCTTTGGTCTTCTTTTATGGAAAGCCATAGCTGGCTTAAAGTGATCAAACAGCATTTTGTTG